CCCCCCCCCCCCCATCGATACTGCACTCTCCCTCCATCGGCAGTAGACACCACTGGTGTTATCTCCTTTTATACAAGGTGGCTATTGCTGTAGCTTACCTAATGTTTTGTTGGGCGTTGTTCTTCCTAAGGAACGAGTGGAGGGCATGGGGATGAGGCCTCCGCGCCTGTCCCGCAGCCGCAAACTCCACCGCTGGCAGAGATTGCGAGACTCCGACAACGTACGCAAAGCCCACATGAGGCATTTTCCAGCTAAATAGGGCACAGCAGTTTCTTGAGCTCTGGTAGATAAGTTTTTGACTCGCCCCGAAGGCTTGTGGCACGGAAGCCACACAATCACGTCTTTGAGGAAGCCTTCGACGTTTTAACTTGCGTGGTTATTCATATGCTACGGTGCAGTGGGGATCCCCATTCGGCAGCCTTATGTTGAAGGCGATCGCTGTGTACAATGTAAGGCGGGTGAAATTGGCTGGCATACATGTAGACGGAATAATCCACGATGTTCTACGCAATGAATATGGCGGCAGCCCCAGCCCAGCTGCCGTACCACCGCCTTATTCGAGGACCCGCACTTTATCTTGCCATGATCGATGCCGCACGCCATGCTCCTCCCGACAACCGCACTCCTGAACGGGAGATGGGGTGCTTGTACGTGTGCGACGCCTTGACGTTCGTGTTCTACTGGGTGCTGCCTTGTGTTCGTCGTTGTGTTAGGTGTAGCTCCATTTCACCGTTGGCAAACATGGCATTGCGTCTTCTCGAGTGCCGCTGTCGCTGTGTTGCGGGCTTCAGCAGTATATGTTGGGCTGTAGCATTGCCTCTGCTAGTTGTGCTTCTAGCTCTTTGCCACGGCGCTGCCCAGGTACACGCTCCGGCGTTGCCCTCACGGTGTCCGCCACTCCCGCTAGAAACGAAAGTTGATCGCTTGCTTCCTTCAGACCCCGTTAAACTGAGAGGATTAAACAGGAGAAGAGCACGCGTTGTACATAACAGTTAACGTGTCTGGTGCGGAATATTGTACCGCTCTTCGCTTGCGTGTTCCCGCGCCGCTCTTGCATGCTATCGTCGCACGAGCAGCTCAATACGTGCCGACACTTGACTCCTCTTCATCGGTAAATTTATGAGACCTAGTTTCGTAACATGGTGGCCTATATAAGGGCTTGGCTTGTTATTTTCTATTGGTTTCCAGAGAAGGTGCAACACTACTCTCTTCAACGTCACGTACGCGCATTCGTGGTAACCTTTTGTGAGTTGTCCGCGCCAACTAGTTGGCCAATTTCGCGGCACATTATGGTACAGAATACATAGCAATATAACGCTTGCGCTTGTACTAATTCCCAGACAAGGTGTAATGCTGCTGAATCTCTGTTACACCTGTGCTTCGGCGAGGATTTTGACATGCCCGTCGCTCAGCAAGCTTTTCCCCGCCAGCGTGCAGCAGCTACCGTTTGGGCAGAGGTTTAATCAGCCCATCATCACGGTACGGTCGACTGGCAGCCTCTTCAACGAGTGTGTTGCCGGCACAAGATGGCCTGACAAACTGCAGGAGCTGTAGTTTGACTCCGCATTCAACCGGGAGCTGCGCGGGTGGCCAAGTGGCCTGCAAACATTGAAGCGTGGCTGGTTCAACAAGTCTATTGACGGGGTTTCGTGGCCAGATAGAACGTTATCAGGCCACCTGGCCACACGACCCCGCACAGCTCCTGGTTGAATGCGGAGCCACACGATAGCTCCTGCAGTTGTTCGGCCATCTTGTGCCGGCAACAGGCTCGTTGTACAGTAGGCACCCTCTTCAATGAGTGTGTTGCCGGCACAAGATGGGCTGACAAACAGCAGGAGCTGTCGTTTGGCTCCGCATTCAACCGGGAGCTGCGCGGGTGGCCAAATGCCCTGAAAACATTGAAGCTTGGCTGGTTAACAAGTCCATTGACGGGGTTTCGTGGCCTGAAAACGTTGAAGCTTGGCTGGTTCATTAAGGCTTTTGACGAGATTCGTGGCCAGGCTAGCTCTCTTCTTCGTCACGTATGCATAATGCGTGTTGACGTTTTTTGGGAGTTGTCCGCGTCAACCAGCTGGACAACTTAACAGGATGTTTAGTATAAGTAAAGAAATCGCGAAATAATGCTCATGTTTGTCCGTTCTGTGTGCTTGGACGTGTGGCATCAGGGCGGAGTTCGCCAGGAAGAACCTTCCCCAGGCGGAGATGCTTTACTCGAAAGCGGTGGAGATCAGGCCGGAAGATGCCACGCTGTACAGGTTTGTTGGTTTGTTTTGAGATTGCGCCGACCGCGTCGACCGCTGGCTGACGACCACCAATGACATTGCCCCCAAGCTCGTGTGTCTGGTTTTCTTTCAGTGGCACCGATCCCCAGTAACCGGTTGACCAAGAAAGACACGCCATTCTTGGCGGGGCAAATAAACGCCACGAAGTATTTTAGAACGCTTCATATGCGGTGTAAGCGAGTGCCCATTGGGTTTGCGTTGAACGTGCTACATAGCTTGCTGACCGAGAGTATTTTCACGTCTCTCGGTCTCGACCTACGGGGGGCCGCAGATAGGACTTGGCACAAAGATACGTGCGGTGTGAGCTGTTAAGGAACGCCCCCGTTCCCTCCTCCCCCCCCAGCAACTTGGCGGCCGTGCGGCTTGGTCTGAACAAGCCCGGGCCGGCGCTGGAGAATGCTGTAGAGGCGCTTCGCCTGGACCCGTCCTACGCCAAGGGCCACTACCGCAAGGGGCAGGCACTGATGGCGCTCACGAGGCCGGGCGAGGCCGCGGAGGCTTACCGAGCGGGGGCTGCTCTTGAGCCCGAGAGCAAGCTGTGGGCCCCCCTCGTAGAAAAGGCGGAGAAGGCGGCGGCTTCGGCGCCGGCATCGTCGCCTACGAAAGCGACACCAACCGAAGCCAGCAATAGCAGCAACAGTAGTAGCGGTAGAAAGAGTGCCGATTCGTCAAAGAGCGGCGGGACTAGCACTGCTTCGCCGGCAGCTTCCACCGCCTCTAGTCGTGGTGGTGGTGGTGGTGGTGGTGGTAGCAGCGGTAGCGGTGATGCGGGGGCGGGGATGAAGGGGTACAAGATAACGGCAGACGGGAAGAAGACGACGTACTTCAACAACGACCTGACGGAAGAGGCGAAGGCCCTCATCGGGGACATTGCTCCCAAGAAGCTGGAGCCCGCCGCTGCCGCCGTGCAAGAGTCGACCTCGGGGGGGGGCAACGAGGCGAGCGCTTGGAACAAGGCGGGGACGTGGGAATCTCGAGATATGACAAGGTTTGTGGCGCGACTTATCGTCTTGCTTGCCGTCGGCACAAGGCTTGTGGCTCGACGTATCACTAACTTGCCGTCGGCATCGCAAAAGAGACAGCTGGAAATCATCGAAGAAAAGAATGAAAAAATATTTGTTGGTTTTGTCCTTGTTTTTTCTCCCCACCGGAATCGGGACGAAAGAAATGCGCGCTTTTGTAGATGGTGTTCCTCGGTTGTTTTGGGGCCCTTGGTACCTGTGGAACTCTTTCGGGGCCCCTTGGATTTTGTTTGTCTTTTCGTCAAATCAGCGCTCATGGCATTTGTACCGTTTACTCCGACCCGCGGTCACACAGAAGGGTCCCTATTCCTGAGGCTCCCTACCCACCCCCTGCGGGGCTTTGCGTTCGATTTATATTGCGAGAGAGGGCAGCACCCTCTTCCCTCTGTGTACATTAAAACTAGCGCTTCCCACCCAGGCCCGGAACGGAAGCGAGATAAGACTCGCTCTGCAAGAATCGCTCGCTTACGCCGGGGTTTGAACCCCTGGCCCTGGCCAGTTTTTCCGAGGATACCAACTATGTAGTTTACCGTTGGCGTCCTTGACGTTGCGACGAGAAACAAACGTGCGCTTCGTCGGGATAGCCGTGGATCTCGTGTGCCGGTCCCAACACACCGGTTTGGCAAACCATCCATCCCTTGTCGAGGTTGGGGGAAAAGGCAGCAGACCGGCGATAACATTGGGTGTGGCGCAGGCGACGTGGCATCGCTGTTGTGACGTTCGTCCATGGGTGTGCCAAACAGACCGTGGCCGGGGCAGAGCTGCGCTCCCGCCGGGAATGTAGGGTCAGCAGAACGCGTCACGTGCTGCCCGGCTTAGGGCCTGCTTCTCCCGTCGCCCCCACACATTGCTGTTGGCGACGCCATCCACGTATGAACAGAGAGCACCATAAGTTGTTGTCTGTTGTGTTCTGTGTCTATGCACGTGGAAACATGGGTAGGCGCCCGTTGCTTCATTGCGCACCTGCCCGTAAGTCCTGGGACCTTACGTCTTGTACACACCATCCAAGTTCAGGTTTTACTGGCACCCTTTGTTTTATTCCACGTTGATTATATCGTTCAGCTTTCCCCGAACGTTCTCGTTGTTGAACCGTCTTATTCCAATTTCGTTGAGCTTCGGCCTGTTTTCACTGTTGTGTGCGCTCGATGGCTTTGCCCTCCGGCCTGCTTGCCCTTGTGTCCCTCCAGCTGGGCGAAGCAGCGTCTCGAAGAGCTCTTGGTAGGAGTGGAGCTGGACGCCTTGGAAAGCGTGGTGAAGGTCGTCAAGGTCGACAAACTCGAGGGAGACGCGGAGGTAGGTTGTGTAGTTTGTGGCCTTCCTTTTCCTTGGATCAGTTTGCAGCGGCAGCGGTAGCGGCGGCGGCAGCAGCAGCAGCAGCAGTTTCTCTTACCATCTCGGGTAGTCGTTGAGTTGCACCAGCTGTTGCCTCTTGGGGGGGGGCTCTCGCACAGAGAGGATTGGCGTCCTGTTCAGGCCTCAGGCGTACAAAATCTCACTGTCGACGCGGAGCTTGAAAACGTTGGCCTCTCCCCGGCGCTGTTTCGTCTTTTCCGGCAGCGGCGCAGGTTTACTTATTTGCCATTGCGTCGTGTACGTCCACTCGAAGAGTGGAAGGTCTTGATGGAAGTAATGGTAGTCGTTAGGCTTTCTTTCCGGCAGTCCACGATTTTCGTTTGTCGCTTTCGTTTTTGGCAGGAGGTGTTTGTGCCTTGTGTGATATCACGCGACCTCCTCGGTAGAAGTGGGTTTTGGACACGAATGCAGGAAGCAGGGAGGTTGTCTGCAATGTGGAGTGACTCCGATACTGTAGCTTGTTTTTTTCTGCCGGGTTAACAGAGGTGGATTAGCTATGGATATTTGCGTGTTTCTGTCCCAAGTGGTAAATGTTCGGTACGCCGGGAATGCACGCCGTTCTCTCTGTCTCGCATGGTCCACCTGATACAGTAATCCTCTCTGTCTCGCATCGTCCACCTGACACATTGTCTGCTGCTGTTGGATATCCTTTTTTATTGTCCAGATCTCGTTTTCTCGAGGGAAGAAGAGGTACATGTTCGACTTCCGCTTCGAACTCAAGTGGGAAGCGCCGGATCTCGACTGCGGCCCCGCGAAGGGGGTGCTCATGTACCCTGACGTGGGCCAGGACTGCGACGGGGTGTACGACGTCGAGTGCAGGGTGAGCCAATACACCACGGAGGAGAGAATAGTATCTAGCAGGTGTTTCTCCCACTCACTGCAAGAGACTTGGAACACAACCCCTTCGACTACTACGGTTGGTTGTACATATCTCGAACGGGAAGTATTTTTGTGTTTGTGATGTATGCTTTCTAGAGAAGAGAAAGGCGTTTTTGGTGGAGGGGTAGCCAGCCAGTGCTACATTTCTATTGTTACACTGTTGTTATTGGGTATGACGTTCTTGGTCGTGGCTTGGTTTCGAGTCTTGTACCGCTCTCAACGACTGCTTTGCTCGGGGCTGTGAAGGACTGATGTGCACCCTTCTTGCAGCGCTTTTGCTCTGCCAGCATACAGGCTCTACTTTGGCGTGATAGTGTGCTTGAAGCGTTCGAAAATCAGGCCGCCACAGCTCTTCTTGTGTTTCGTCGTCATCACTGGTCGATGTAGCCTAGTTCACCTGTCACCTGGGTCTGTGTTTTGTTCGCCCGTGACTGCTGCTGTTGTGCCGAGACGTGCGGAAGGGACAAGGGCGGGATGCACAAGGTGGCGCGCCGGGCGATGCAATGAGTTCGCCCTCGTCCGTTGTCCGCGCGAACTGTGTTTGCGTCGCAGGTGGATAGCAGCACCTCCGCCGCCGCCAGAGGATTCGTGGACCGGCACGTTCGACCAGAAGGCTCGGGTCTGAGGGAGGCGGTGCTGTCTCGCTTGACGGCTTTCACCACCGAATACTACGCAAAATAGCGAGGAGCTGTTTCGTCGCTTTATCGTGTGCGTATTTGACTTCTTGAGCTTCGTTGCAACTTGTTGTCTTTTTTACCACATGGTTGATAGATCATTGGTTCGTTGTGCAGGTCTGGGCTGTAACACGACCTCAACAGCAATTTGCAATGATGTATCGGTGGTCAGCGGCATGCTGGAAGGCTGCACACATACGTACAGCAGTATGCTTGCTTTGTTGTTGCATTCGGCTGGTGTACAGAGTTGCTTTGAACGGACCAGACGCCGCACTCGCCCTTGTTCTTGTGGGCAGCAGCAGTAGACAGCGGTCGCGGCTGCACACATACGTACAGCAGTATGCTTGCTTTGTTGTTGCATTCGGCTGGTGTACAGAGTTGCTTTGAACGGACCAGACGCCGCACTCGCCCTTGTTCTTGTGGGCAGCAGCAGTAGACAGCGGTCGCGGCTGCACACATACGTACAGCAGTATGCTTGCTTTGTTGTTGCATTCGGCTGGTGTACAGAGTTGCTTTGAACGGACCAGACGCCGCACTCGCCCTTGTTCTTGTGGGCAGCAGCAGTAAGACAGCGGTCGGTGCGTGTGTCAAGAATTTCAGGGCCAAGACTGGGAGGGCATACCGCTTGGCGCCCCGCACTACCGCAGTCTTACACCTTATGGTTTGAACATCAGTCAGTCTGCTCCGTAAACCGAGTAATTCTACTTCCGTTGGCCAGCTTTGAGCTGCCTGCTTAGACCGTGTGCACCCTTCGAAGTGTGTACGCAACAGGACCGCGTTAAAAATCGTGGTTGGGCACGCAAGTGCTGTACCACGTCGTCGTGGTCGCCGCTCGCTGTATTTTTCTACTGTCTCGAGCCGCGTCGAGCGGGGTTTGTTTGGTAGAGTTACTCTTCGGTTAGCACCGACTGCGGCAACCGGGTGATCAATGCGTAGATGAGTGCGCATCTGTCTTCAAACCGAATCTTTGCATCATGGCGGAGTGTGTTGCGTCCTCTCTCGTCTTTTCCGATGGACCCGTGGAACAGTTGATGTCTGTTGTTGCGCGTTCATGTAATAAAGGGAAGATCACCATCCAGACGAAAGGCGAGCGCTTTGTTTGATCCTTTCTCAGTACCGTCGGAACCTCGTAAAGCACGATCACTGCTGTATGATCAGCAAACACTCAAGAAGGCCACGCAACACGATGCATGCATTCATCACAAATTCGTCCCGAAGATATACTCTTTGTGCGTAAGACTATGCGTACATAGGATAAAGAGCTGGGACAACAGGCGTGTTGATTCTGCCATTCTCTAGCTCCTCTCCCATCCTTACAAATGTAGCTCCCCTCTCAACAGCAGTCTTCATGTAGTCTCCTCGCAGCTCGGCATTTCGGCATTTCGCCACTAGCACTCTGCCGGGCACCCCCCCCCCAACGTACGACTAACCCGTACCAGTGCGTACACACGCGCGCCTAACGGCGGGAACTACAGAATAGTACGAAGTAGGAAGTAGGAAGAGAATTGGGGGAATGCTTGCGGTCCCTGAGTTAAAATGACAGTCCCGCCGTGGCTCCTTGTCAAAGTCTGGTGCTTTGCTGCAGCACACGCACACCGCCTTCGATGGTGCAGCTCGCACTAGGGTGGACCAGCACGCGCTCAGGGTTGGGGTCAGCATCCCTGTCGCGTGCCTGAGGCGCTTACTTGTTCTCGGCGAGGGGTGGTGACACGTGTTTCACTGCTAGGATATTCGCATATTTGAGCAAGGCGCTTGACCGGATCAAATTTTGATCAGTAGAGAACCAGCGAGAGGGAGGTGAGGGACGCCATTTCACAAGGCAACCATGGTCTTGTGTCGTCGTCTGCCTGCCGCCAAGCCGACCCCCCTACTGTTCCTCGCCATCTGCTGCGCCGTCGGGTGGGGATTCCTTCTGCCTGGCGGCATTCGCAGCAGCAGCAGCAGGGGTGGGTTAGAAGCTGTCTCGCGGAGCAACATGATACAGGATTCCGACGTACGTCCTCCTCCACGCCCTCATAGGTCACGCGACAGATACAGGAGCAGAGGCGGCTATTGCAGCAGGAGGGCCACCTCTGCTTCCCGCCAGACGGGCCCTATCTCATCGCTTGTCCCTCACGGGCAGCCCACCAGCCACGTGCCCACCAGAATGCAGAGTGCCGACGGAGGAGAGCAGACACAACAAGAGGAGCTCGATGAGCAAACTGCTGTGCAACGGGACGAGGAGCAAACCAGCGACGGCATAACAGTAGTCGCCGCCGCCACCGTCGCCACCGCCAACGTCGCCGGCGGGAACAGCAACAAAGACGATCGTAGCGACACCGAAGACGACGGCACAAGAGTGCCCCACCCCCTACCGAAATCCCTGGGAGGCGGGCGGTACCTGGTCCAGAGCTTGCTGGGCACCGGCAGCACCGCGTCCACCTACCGCTGCACCACCACCGCCACCTTGCGCCGCCAGCGGCGGGAAGATGCAACACCCCCACCGGCTCCGAGACCGGCGCCTGTGTCACAACAAGGACGGCAGCAGCAGGGAGAGGATCGTTCGCCCGGGGACACCCTCGGCGATGCACAACACGAAAGCCAACGGTAGGTACTGCTGTAGTGCGAAAATAAGCATCATGAGCATCACGCGAAACGGACGCAAGCGCAGTACCCGGTTTTCTGTCTCTACCCCCCCCCCCCCCCCCCCCCCCCCCCCCCCCCCCCCCCCCCCCCCCCCCCC